CAGGGCACCATTGACTTTGTTTCCGGCAGCGACACGCCTATCCACATCTAAATCACATCTTCCATCCCGGCTGAAAGCACTCCCCAAGTATACAATTTCATTTACCTGTTCTAGACATTCCTGATTTACCCATATTTCACATTTCGTTCTCTCTTCGTCCTTTTCAAATACCAGAACCTTAGTTTTATTAGCATTCAAACGGAGACCTTTAATTTCACATTCCTCTTTCATACACGTGACTAATGCCTGCAGTTCTGCTTCCGATGGTGCAATAAGCACTGCATCATCAGCATACAGCAGACAATTAACTTTTATGTCACCCAATTTCACACCCAAACAGCTATTTTTCAGCTTCTGTAAACAGCTGTCGAGATACAGTATGAACAGCCAGGAAGACATGACACAACCCTGTTTTACGCCCGCTTGGACGCTAAACATGGGTGACAGGTCATGCCCTACCCGCACACAGACTTTACAGTCATAGTAAAGTGACTGCACAGCCCTTAACAATCGACCATCCACACCATATCCCGGCAACAGTTCCCACATTTTCTTCCTTATAACCTTATCAAATGCTTTCTCCAGATCCACAAAAGCACAGAAAATCTTCTGGTTAACACTCAGAAGCTTCTCCATGATCATGCGGAGAGAAAACATTTGATCCGTGCATCCTCTTCCAGGTCTAAATCCGCATTGTGCCTCCCATAAGAATCTTTCCGATTTCTCTTGCATCCTACGTGTCAAAACCTTCGAGTAAACTTTACTTGCTAAACTGGTCAAGCTGATCGCCCGATAGCACCCGCAGTCAAAATGTGAACCTTTACCTTGATATAAAGGTACGATGACCGCGGATCGCCAATCATCCGGGACATCTCCCGTCCGCCAGCACAAATTGCACAGCAGATGGAAGCTGTCCCAGACGCGAGGCCCACCGTACTTGACCATTTCAGCAGTAACTCTGTCTAGTCCCGCAGCCTTACCACATTTCAAACTTCGAATCGCACGTTCAATCTCTTTCATGCTGATGACCTCAGTGTCATCGAGGTCCGTGTCTGGCGTGCCAGTCACGGCGTCACCCCCGGATCCTTCACTAAGATCATGACACGCATACATTTCTCTATAAAATTCACGCCATCGCTGCATGACGTCCGGTTTTTCTGAGAGGACGTCATTGGTTCTCGAAAACACTTTGTTCATTCTTAAGGCTGTCGCACCACTCCGGGACCTTCCAACCTCTTTCCAGAAGAGTTTGGAGTTTTCCCTAAAGTTGTGCGACAACCTCTCGTCCGCTTCTATTCTACACCTTTCACGTACTTCCTCAATCAATGTTTTCGCATGAATTTTCTGCAGCTTATATCTTTCTTTCATCTTCTCTCTCATATGCTCATCGTCAATCAACTCTATATTTATTTGTCTACGCACGGCGTAGACAGAGTAGAGTAGCATTTTTTTTCATTCATTCTCTCTACTGCTCTCTATAGTCATAGTCTCTACGATGCTTGGACTAGAGTGCGCGCAAGATAACTCTGCGCGCGGCCAAAATTGGAACTAATCGTGTGCCGCCATCTTACTGTTTATGGCAAGTGTCTAAACAGAGTGGTAGGTGTCCTGTTTTTATTCTTTTTTGCAGTAATTAATCGTTATCATTATGCCGAAAGTGATTAAAAGTGCTGGCAGGGATGTTATTTTGAAGGTCAAACGTGCTTGTGAAGAAGAACGAGACAATAACGGGCCTATAGTACCGTTTTCCAAAGTTGAGCCCGCGTTGCATATTTAACAGGTAATTTTTAGGGATGCCATTACAATAAAATTCCCCAATTTTCTCTATTTGTTCCTTTTTTAATTTCCTCGTGTCATTAATATCATGTATTTATAATGCATTGTTTTTATTTTGTTTTAGGTGTTTCTGAACGCACCGTCACCCAGATAAGTCAAGAGGGTAATATAGCAGAAGCTTCATCTTCTAAAATTGTGACGCCGGGAAAAACTAGGAACCGAAGGAAAAAAAAACTATGATTTAGACGATTTCGATATGTGCTGTGAAGAAGGAGATTCCTACCATAAATAAACTTTGGTTGGAATTGAAAACTGATATTGGTTTTAAATATGGCAGATCATCGTCGAGGAGTATTTTAAAGACTATGGGCTACAAATACAAAAGGTGCCAGTCTAAACGAAAAGTATTGGTAGAACGCAGTGATATTGCAGCTTGGAGAGCAAAATATATTCTGAGGTTGCGCAAGAATCGTCAGGAAGAAAATCGACCGGTAATTTATGTTGACGAAACGTATATACATGCTTCATACCACCTTCAAAAATGTTGGCAATCGAAGGAACAGCCTGGTATTCTTGCTTCTGATAGCGTCGGTGCAAGATGGAAAATAGCCCATGGTGGAGGTAAAACTGGGTTTGTTGAAAACGGACTGCTGCTGTTCAGGTCTAACTCCAAATCGAATGACTATCATGACGATATGAATTCAGCTAACTTCATGCGGTGGATGAAAGAAAAAATTGTGGCGATTCTTCCAACGAATTGCATTCTAGTGATAGATAATGCGTCATACCACTGCACACATATCAACAAGGCGCCTACAATTGGCAATACAAAAGCAGAGCTCCAAGGATGGCTTACGAGAAATGGTATTACATTTGAAGACTGTTGGACAAAAGCGCAATTATGCGAATTAATTAAAAAATACAAAGGAGACCCACAGTACGAAATAGATCAAATGCTAAATGAATATGGACATGAGGTTCTCCGTTTGCCGCCTTACCACTGCGATTTAAATCCCATAGAAAAAATTTGGGCAATAGTAAAGAGACGCATTGCAGAGAAAAATATCACTCAAGCTCCTAGCGAAATAGCTGCTATTACTGAGGCGGCGTTTAGAACAGTAACGACAGAAGAATGGTTCAACGTATGCCAACATGTAGAAAAAATAGAAGATAAATATTTCCAATCAGATAGGCTGATGGATATGAAAATGGATGAATTTGTAATTAATGTTACAGGTGACACATCCGAGTCATCTGATGAAGACTCTAGCATGGATTCTGATGAAGATATGCGAATGGAAGGCGTTGATCCACTGCAGGACCATTGTTACACCAAATTTATAAATAATAATAGGTATTCAATAAAAGATTTACAAGGTTTCCTTGGACTTTTTATTTCGTTCTTTATAATAAATATTATAATGCTATTTCAGTTGTTTCAAAATACCTTTTTGGAAAAATTTATTATAGACAAAATATCAGTAGTCATTAATCTTAGTATTAGTCCTTTTTACACACGCATATAATAGGTATCTGTAATTGTGTAAAAAAAATTGTAGTGGCGTAGTTAAACTTGTGTAGTGAGGTATCAAACTTATGAAAGTTAGAATCAAGAAATATATTTATTACGCGGATCTTAAACAATAAATATGGGGTTTAAAAAATTATTAGGTCTTTGTAAGTTTAGGCTGAACATTACAGTTTTTTTAATTGAGATTTGGTAATCACTTAGGTAATTTATGTAATTTGATATAATTATACAATTCCAGTAATAAGATTAAACGAAGGAAAAAAATATTAGTTAAGCTGGCAACATTAAGCACGCCATCAGTCGCGCGCAGAGTTATCTTGCGCGCACTATATCAACGAATAAAGTATTGTCCAATCAATTCCATAACAAACATAAGTTTCCACTAATTCTTAAAATAAAAAATACCCTATTCAGATGCCATCTTAAAGGAATCCATGTTTCAGTGGCCTGGATTCCAGGCCACAGTGGTATCCATGGTAACGAAACAGCTGATGTACTCGCTAAAAATGCAATTGCTAATGGCATTCTACAAAATTTAATTTACTCACATGACCTAATTTTGCTAGCTAAAAGGAAACTGAATGAAAATTGGAATAAATTATGGGAAGTTTCCAGAAATGTAAAAGGTAAGCACTATGCTGCCATCCAAGAGATTATTCCTCCCAAGCCTTGGTTCTTTAAATTTAACAAAGCAAATAAACATGCAACTTCAATCATTTGTAGATTAAGAATTGGACATGCTTGTACACATGCACATCTGGCAAAAATCAGAGTAAGGGATAGCTCATTGTGTGAATGTGGCTTAGATGAAGGTTCCACAAACCATATTTTTTTCAACTGTCCCAAATTATCCTCCTCCCTTTATGATTACCTTCCTCCTTATATTCCTCGACCTATAGATTTTAATTCTCTTTTAACATATACCAGTACTCCTTTTGTGTATATTTTATGTGATTTTATTAATACTAATAATATGAAACTTTAAATCCTTGTCACTTTTAACATATGGGTAAGAGTCTAACACCTGTGTTTGTCATATTTGTTCTAGGTAATTCAACAAATAGATTTGTCAAAATTCTCGGAGGAAAACTGAATCCTTGTATTATCACAGACTCTTATTTTAATTAAACTCATAAGCTTTCATTTTCTACTCAATACGTCATTGGCGAATTTTATCAAACCGCCACAAAAGAAAGAAGAAGAAGAAGAAGAAGTATTGTCCCCGTCTGGGTAAATGTATTCTGTGGTATTCAGTGTTGCCAACTTGACGGGTTTCCCGCTAGATATGACGGGTCAGCGAGGTTTGCAACGGGAAAAGATTGTGTTTATTAACGGCTAACGGATTTTTAACGGGATGGTTATAGGTATTATAAAATAGATGTGTGTATATACTTTGGTAGATTGAATTCTGAAAAATATTAAATGTGTCAAGAATCGATATCAAATGAATTCATTCTTGATATTTATTCCTACTTGACGGGTTTTGACGGGATTAGTGTTCTCTACTACGGGAGCTAGATTTTAATGTTGGCATCACTGGTGGTATTGTCAATCTCTGGTATGTATTGTCCAGTATTGTCAATTGTCATTTGTCCACATTTGTCAATGTCAGGTGTTTAAAAATCTTGTGTTCTTGTGATTCTGATTTTTAATAAAGTTGAATTCGTAAACTTGTTCCTAATAATAATAAAAAATGCCAAAGAAAAAAACTGGGCAGCGAAAGAAAGCAGAGAAACAGAAACAAAGGCAGAAAGAGATCCGAAATGCTAGGGAACACGTAGACATAGCTCAGCACCCTTGCAACATGCCGATGGAATGTGATAAATGCCAAAAGTGAATAATTATTTTATGTCTAATACCACATTAAAATTTGCAATAATTTAAACCTCACAATTTTTTATATCGTAAAATCCTAATCCAGATAGTAAATTCTTTGAAATTTGTATAATAACGTGACTTGTATTCTTGCTAATTCACCTTTCACAACTTCAAACAGTGTGTAATACAGTGTTCTATTTTCTTAGAATTAATACTGTATTTACATAATAAATATTAGTGTTGAAGAATAGAAGTATTGTAAAATAATACAACAAATTCCGTAAAAAAAGAGAAAATGCTTTAGTTAGAGCCATGTGCTGAAGATTGAATTGATTAGTAGAATAAGTCTTATACACTATAAATAGAATGTTAAATTATACAAAACTATGAATAGAATAATTCTTAAAGAGTTTCATATTACTTGTGTATGTATCAGGCCAAAGACATCTACATCCATCCTCAATTAAGAATCAGAATGTAGAATGCTTTGTAACTCCTGACAATTAAGATGGAATCTCGTTTTCAGTAGAAAGCATCTTTACTAATCTAAACACCATATCACCGTAACACAGCAGCATTAAGCTGCTGATTTATGCTAGTATTCATTCTAGAATTTATATTTTTGTACAGGTTTCAAGATTAGGTAGCCCAAACATGATTATTCAACATAGCTGTATAAAAGCATATAAGTAAATTATATCAATATTCATATACACATGTACATACATAGATTCATCTCTTATTTGTAAGGGGTAGGTAGAGATTCTAAAAAGCAGCTAGCTAGTTGGATAATTTTAAGCCAGCAAAACATGTGCCTGAATGGCAATTTGTGAAAGAATTGAGAGGTGGTTAGCTGATTGCCAATATAAACACAAACCCAACATTCCATTAGTCAACTTTTATAACTTACTAGCAAGTTGTCACATACTTTATTAACAAAATATATGATATTATTTAAATAAGCTTTTATTACTAACTTTTTTATATTAGTCCTCAAAGGTTACAATTCTCCTAAATTTTTATTCTTTATCATTGATTAGATATTGCTACACTAATTGTACATCATGATTTTTTTGTTTGTTTGATTAATACATTATTGCAAAGCAATTTTTGCTCATAAATTGGTAATGGTTAAAAATTGTCATGTTTGTTTTGTATAGAAAACAGAAAAGCCGAGCATTCTGTTACTTCTGCCAGGCACTCCAACGGCTGCCAGCATGCGCACACTGTGGCAAGGTTAAGTGCATGCTGAAGTCTGGAGATTGTGTGGTGCGCCATCCTGGAGTATATACTACAGGACTTGGAATGGTGGTATGTAAAAACTAACTATTTATAATTATTTATTTTGTTATTTCAGGCCTTAGTTCAGATGTTTTTGCTGTACCACATTATGTGCTATAGTGTATTATCATCATCATTATCATCACCAATACATACCTTTAAACTTTTTACTGTTGTGTATGTGAATGATTTATATTTACATAATACTAAATTTCCGTTATCCACATAGTATATATATATGTATCAGAAGTACCATACTTCTCTTGGGCATATATGACATGCTGTGTAGTAGAGGGGAGTCTGTGGTGTAGTGGAGAGGACCAGCTGTATACCACTATCTTATAAATGGTGATAAATCAATTAATGTAGTGCGACTGTAGGAGAAAGATGCATATGTGTGTATGAGTGAGCCGAGTGAAGGAATTTGTGAATGTTAACAAGAACCAGTAACGGTATTTACACATTAACATGCAGTGATGCACATATAAAATTCTTAAACCGTTCCATATAAACTTAATCTAATATATAAGACTTTAGGTCATGATATCAATACAGCCACAGTCAGATGACAGTCATACGAGGGTGCATTTTTAAGTTTGCAGAATGGGTAGGTACATAATAAGTGAGGATGTCATTGCATTATGTGCTGATTAAGCAACTCATTATTAGTATAAATACTGGGTTTAATTGTAATTAGATCATTAGTCTTTGAGTTATCGTCAACCAAACAAGTCAATGTGGAAGAAATTGTGAAATATGGAGAAAATCAAGTTCTATGCCGTTGTAAAGTTCCTTACCAAGAGCAGCAAATCAGTTCATACTATACTGGAAGAGATGTTATCCGTTTACGGAGACTCTTGTCCCAGTAAAACTACGGTTTACAAGTGGCATACCCTTTTTAAACAAGGCAGAGAGTCACTTTAAAACGACTCACGGCCAGGAAGGTCGATTGAGGTGATCACTTCGGAAATTATTCAAAAAGTCGAAAAATTAATATTAGAAGATGCCCGCCTAAAGAAAAAAACAGCTTGCAGGAATGGTTGGAGTCTCAGAACAACCATTTTCAAAATTCTTCATGATTATCTTGGCATGAATAAAGTCGACGCAAGATGGGTGCCTAGAATGCTTACGCCGCCTCAAAAGCAACAGCACGTTGAGTGTTCTCGTGCATTTTTGGACCTCTGTATGGAAGACAAAGATGGAGTGTTGGCTCGAATTGTTACTGGTGACGAAACTTGGGTTCACCATTATGAACCTGAGTCCAAACAGGACTATTCAGTGGCACAAAAAAGGCACACCACCACCCAAGAAATTTAAGGTGGCACATTCGTTTAGGAAAATCATGGCGACAGTCTTTTGAGACTCAGAAGGAATCCTATTGATTAATTATAAAGATAAAGGTGTCTCCATAACCGGAAATTACTATGCTTTAATCTTAGAACAATTGAAGGAAGCCATAAAGGAGTAAAAGAAGGGGAAAATTGACCAAAGGAATCCTTCTTCTGCATGGCAACACGCCTGTTCACAAGTGCCATGTTGCAATGGCTGCCCTGCAGAAGGTGGGCTTCCAAATTTTGCCACACCCACCCTATAGTCCTGACCTGGCTAGCCCCAAGTGATTATTATCTATTTCCTAAATTAAAAAAGAACTTTGTAGAAAAAAGTTTTTATGTGATGAAAAAGTGAAGGAAGCAGTTTCGGCGTATTTTTTAGACAAAGACAAATCATTTTGTTTTGAGGGTATACTAAGTTAATTGAAAGATCCGAAATATGTATTAGGGTAGCAAGTGAATATATTTAAAAGCAAAATTAATTTTGGATTTTTTATTTCCACTCCTTACCCCCCATTCCACGCACTTTAAAATATCCCCTCGTATGTCTTAAAAGTTTAGATATTCCCATTCATTTGTACAGTTTTCTGTTAGCGATAATGATTTACTACGTTAACATGTCAATTAAATCATAATGCATTAAAAACATGAAAATGTTACTACCAATTATAAAATTAAAATAACCAGAAATAGAGGAGATAGAGGTTGTTGAAAGAAAATTTAAATTAAAGTTTTTATTAATATATTTGTAATATGCATGGCCAGCAACATTGTCCTGACAGCAACACAAAGTACCAAAAAAGTTTTTAATATGCCAGCCAAGTGTGGCAGCTATGGAATATAGGCCTATGTTCATCAGAAGACTTTTGATAGGGTGTAATTTTTTTCTTCACTTAACCTCCACACCAAGATTTTTTCTTCCATCGTGGAGGCAATTACATACATAAATTAACTAAGGACAAACATCCAGACACAGAATAATTATTTGTAGGGATTCAGTGCTGCAACTCATTGCTACATAATGAAGCCATTTTTAATTTTTTTTCTTTTTCAAACAATACCACCACACTAGGATTTTGTCCTGTATCATGGGGGTAATGAATGAATAATATACTTATTAGTGGTTTCCAGGGAGCGATTTGTGATTTTTGCGAGGCGTGGGTGTGCCACGGACGCAAGTGCCTTACAGCACACGCATGCACATGTCCGCTAACCGATGCTGTGTGTCTTGAGTGTGAACGAGGTAATCACTTATATGCTTTTTTATTTTATTTTTATGAGCACAATATGAACAAATAGGTATTAAATAGGATTCATTGCCACTAGACATTATCTACCAGTGTGCATATACTTTAGGTAGATTTCAGAAATTGAAAGCTGTAATTGTGGAACTATTAAATAATATCAATACAGTTATTATCGTAGAGCGATCCTTATGATTCTGGTTATTTAACATATCAGCATAATGGTACTGTGTTCTGTTTAGTTAATGTAGGAACCAGAGACACTCTACTAGTAATGAGGAATCCCATCATAGTCATCAGGAGTGACTATGCATCTGTAAGTCTATCTATGGGTCACAGCTCATAGCATCCACTTACCATCAGGTGTACTGCGTGTTCTTTTGTCACCTATAATTCTGTAAATTAAAGATATTAAATAGTATACTTGATGCATTGATTATATGTATTTCAAGATAAACTAATTTGAGTTGTATGGTCAAAAGAACCATACATTTTACTTTATGCTGAACCACCGTGCCACAAATTTCTTATAAATTACTTGTTTTCAACTTAGTGTGTGTAAAAAACTGTTGAAGTAACAACATATGTACTCACTAAATACGGCATTCATACTAATGTACTATCTCTTAAACTATCTTTAAGCTACATAGCTAAAAACTAATTCACCAAAAGAAAGTGTTCGAGTCGCTAACTGTGGCCCGTACAGAATAAACACAAAAGCGAAAAATCAGATTTTATTCTAGTATTATTAAAATAATTATTTTATTAATATTATACTCATTTCTTACTGCATGCCAATGCTACATAAGCTGGCTATGGTTAATACAGTCCTTAAAATATTGAGAGTCAAATCCCTGAGTCTTATAATAGCAGAAAATAAATAGGGGTTATGTCAAGTTGTTTGAAAGGCATAGAATCCTTTGATTGGAAGTGCCATCTTAACTCATCTCTTAGTGAATATTTACTTTGTGTAGGTGTATGGGAACATGGTGGGCGTGTTTTCCGCTGTTGTTTCTGCCAAGGCTTTCTATGTGAAGATGACCAGTTTGAGCACCAGGCTTCCTGTCAAGTTTTGGAGTCTGAAACATACAAGTGTAAGTTGCTATCTTTGTTCCATAATATGCAAACATATTTTGTTTATATGTTTTGAAGAATCCTGTCTACTTATATTATGTAATAATAAAAATGTTTTTTTTTAAATGATTAACATAGTGCCATCCTGTATATTATACACCTGAATGATGACCTGATGATCAACACAATCTGCTGTTAAACAGGGTTGTGTTGATCTTGTTGTTATGATTGATTAATAAAAATGGGATATACTTTATTAATATTTTATATTTTTATGTAGTTTATATCTTTACATAGTTGGGCCACATTATAGTGTATTATTGGTGCAGCATTAATAATTTGGATGAATCGATGGAAAGATGGAAGTGTAGGGAACTGGAGATCCTTTTAACTCATCATAAGGCATTCCATATTAGTCCTCAAGGGTGCAATACTTTTGATAATTTTATTTATCATGGACTGCAACAAATGATGTTTGCATAATGATTTCTTATATTTACGCGAACACTATACATGATTAAAACGACTTTTACGGATTTTATCGCGTTTATTTTTACCTTTTTTTTTTAAGTAAAAATAAACGCGATAAAATCCGTAAAAGTAGTTTTAATCAAATGATGTTTGACTAATTTTTACCTGATTGCCTCAGAAGGAGGCTAATGTTTTTTGAGCATATGTATTTGTCTATTTCTTTAACATGTTCTGTAGTCTAAACAGCTTGATGGATTTTAACATAAATATGGGGTGTATTTAGTTGTTAGTCGATTTTTTTTAAATTACTGTTTTAATCATTGGGCTTGTTACTTTATGAAACTATAATTTTTCTGCTGGGATGTATAGAGAAAAAATAGATAATTTTTTATTCAATATAGATTATAAAGAATACTTAATGAAAGTCACCCTTATGCTTAATTTACCACTTATTCAGTAATACCTTTGTTCTGCAAGAAAAGTGTTAGTTGGAACCTTTTCCTACTACATCAAATTTCTGTCTCTCTTACTATTTAGACACATCCATGGGTGAACTTCTGTTGACCTGGTCTACTATGAGCACAGTAGTAATGAGTAATGCTGCCCACAGGTCAATCATGCAACCGTCTGGGGCAGTACTCCTGCCTGCGCTGCAAGACGTGTTTCTGTGACGAGCACGTGCGGCGCAAAGGAGCGCGGCCTGATCGTCGTGCCGCCCCGCCCTGCCCGCGCTGCGGCTTCGCGCTGCTGCTCACTGCAGACCTTAGCATGTCCAGTGAGTAACCCTTCTTGCCCGCGCTGCGGTTTCGCGCTGCTCCTCACCGAAGACCTCAGCATGTCCAGTGAATAGCCCACCCGACCGATGCGGCTTCGCGCCGCCGCTCACCGCAGACCTCAGCACGTCCAGTGAGTAGCCCTCCCTGACCGATGCGGCTTCGCGCTGCCGCTCACCGCAGACCTCAGCACGTCCAGTGAGTAGCCCTCCCTGACCGATGCGGCTTCGCGCTGCCGCTCACCGCAGACCTCAGCACGTCCAGTGAGTAGCCCTCCCTGACCGATGCGGCTTCGTGCAGCTGCTCACCGCAGACCTCAGCATGTCTAGTAAGTAGCCGCCCCCCCCAGCCCGCGCTGCAGCTTCGCATTGCTGCTCACCGCAGACCTCAGCATGTCCAGTTAGTAGCCCTGCCTGACCGATGCGGATTCGTGCTGCTGCTCACCGCAGACCTCAGCATGTCTAGTGAGTAGCCCCCCCCCCCCAGTCCGCGCTGCAGCTTCGCGGTGCTGCTCACCGCAGACCTCAGCATGTCCAGTGAGTAGCCCTCCCTGACCGTTGCGGCTTCGTGCTGCTGCTCACCGCAGACCTCAGCATGTCTAGTGAGTAGCCCCCCCCCCAGTCCGCGCTGAAGCTTCGCGGTGCTGCTCACCACAGACCTCAGCATGTCCAGTGAGTAGCCCTCCCTGACCGATGCGGCTTCGTGCAGCTGCTCACCGCAGACCTCAGCATGTCTAGTGAGTAGCCTCCCCCCAGTCCGCGCTGCAGCTTCGCGTTGCTGCTCACCGCAGACCTCAGCATGTCCAGTGAGTAGCCCTCCCTGACCGATGCGGCTTCGTGCTGCTGCTCACCGCAGACCTCAGGATGTCTAGTGAGTAACCCCCCAGTCCGCGCTGCAGCTTCGCGTTGCTGCTCACTGCAGACCTCAGCATGTCCACTGAGTATTTCCCCCCTGCCCGCGCTGCGGCTTTGTGCTACTGCTCACAACAGACCTCAGCGTGTCCAGTGAGTAGCCCCCAAGTCCGCGCTGCGGCTGCTCACTGCAGACCTCGGCATGTCCAGTGAGTAGCCCCTCCTGCCCGCGCTGCGGCTTCGCGTTGCTGCTCACCGCAGAACTCAGCGTGTCCAGTGAGTAGCCCCTCCTGCCCGCGTTGCGGCTTCGCGTTGCTGCTCAACGCAGACCTCAGCGTGTCCAGTGAGTAGCCCCTCCTGCCCGCGCTGCGGCTTCGCGTTGCTGCTCACCGCAGACCTCAGCGTGTCCAGTGAGTAGGCCCTCCTGCCCGCGTTGCGGCTTCGCGTTGCTGCTCACCGCAGACCTCAGCGTGTCCAGTGAGTAGCCCCTCCTGCCCGCGTTGCGGCTTCGCGTTGCTGCTCACCGCAGACCTCAGCGTGTCCAGTAAGTAGCCCCTCCTGCCCGCGCTGCGGCTTCGCGTTGCTGCTCACCGCAGACCTCAGCGTGTCCAGTGAGTAGGCCCTCCTGCCCGCGTTGCGGCTTCGCGTTGCTGCTCACCGCAGACCTCAGCGTTTCCAGTGAGTAGACCGCCAAGTCCGCGCTGTGGCTTCGCGGTGCTGCCCACCGTAGATCTCAGCATGTCTAGTGAGTAGCCCCTCCTGCCCGCGCTGCGGCTTCGCGCTGCTGCTCACCGCAGACCTCAGCATATCCAGTGAGTAGCAACCCCTGCCCGCGCTGCCGCTTCGCGCTGCTGCTCACCGCAGACCTCAGCATGTCCAGTGAGTAGCCTGCCCGCGCTGCGGCTTCGCGCTGCTGCTCACCGCAGACCTCAGCATGTCCAGTGAGTAGCCCTCCCTGACCGATGCGGCTTCGTGCTGCTCCTCACCGCAGACCTCAGCATGTCCAGTGAATAGCCCCCCCCCCATTCCGCGCTGCAGCTTCGCACTGCTTCTCACCGCAGACCTCAGCATGTCCAGTAAGTAGCCCACCCTGACCGATGCGGCTTCGCGCTGCTGCTCACCGCAGACCTCAGAATGTCCAGTGAGTAGCCCCCCCTGCTCGCGCTGCGGCTTCGCGCTGCTGCTCACCGCAGGCTTCGGCATTTCCAGTGAGTACTACTCAGTACTTTGGAAGAGATATACTGTAACAGTGTCAGATAATAAAAAATACAGAAGGCTAAATAACAAACTGACTAATTTGGGGCGCACGGCAAGCAGTTTACGAGAATTAACTATTAGAACTAGGTCCAAAGAAATTTTACTCGTATATCAGGCAGAAAATTACTTCAAAAGCTATTACACCAAAAATTTTAAGAAACCGTAATGGGCAATCTGTGACACATCCTAAAGAAATAGCGGAAGTATTTGCAGATCATTTTTCTAATTTGAACGTATTTGAAAGAGAACCACTAGAAGAATTTCCTGCTTTAGACCCAAACCTAAGAACCGCTGAAGCTATGGAGGACACCGTGTTCACGGAATCAAAAGTACAAGCTGCTATCGAAGAAATGAATACAGACTTCACCTGGCCCCGACGAAATACCCGTAAATATTTTAAGAACTGCATACTTAATAGTTATCTAGCATCAATAATGCAAGAATCATACAACAAAGGAGTATTGCCTGATTTATGGAAAACTGCTTTAGAGACTCCTGTTTACAAAAAGGGTAACAAATTAGATCCTGCAAATTATAGACCGATAAGTTTAACGAGTGTGGTGAGCAAAGTCATGGAAATAATAATAGTTTAAGCACATGAGGCAGTTCTTTACCAAACACCATACAGTTGCATAGCCAGCAACATGGTTTCTGTATAGATTAATAATATCCAATTTGTTGTTTTGCTCATCATCCTGGATCAACAGTCAAAATTATCGAGAACCAGTAGATATTATGTATCTGAATTACGAAAAAGCTTTTGATAAAGTACCAATAGGTAGGCTTTTACGTAAATTGGAATTTGTTGGTGTTCGAGGGTAACTGTTAGCCTGGATTGAGACATTTTTATATTTTATGCTGCATTCTTAAACTGGAATAAAGGCGTGTCTGTCTTTCTTTCATAAATAATGTTATTATTAACGAACACATTGGTGTACCTTGCAGCGCGCTCGCATCGTTACGGTCGACAGGGCGCTGTGCCGGCCGACGACGAGGACTATGGGGGTGCCTACACCACGGGATACACTGGTAAGTTCGTCGTTGCCAGGGAATAAACTCGCTATCAACCTTCACTGACTTATCTCATGAAACGCTTTACACTACACGTGGCTATACCGCATAGAAAGTAATATTATAATTTTCTACGTGGTATAGCCAAGACGTAGCTATAGTATGGTTTTAGCACAAATGAGTTAGTTCCTTGTAAGACCATGCTCTCACAGAATAAAACAATATAGCATAATATTACTTAAAAAGTATTCAAAAAAATTCTTATTTGACAAAAAGATTTTATGTTTCATTATTTGTTCATGCACAATAAACAACAGCAATGTTTTAGACATCACAATGCACCTACTCACACATACTCAATATTTGTGTACATGTGCCCAGGAGTATAAAAGAATTTAAAATAATATAACTTGAACAATTGTATTGGTCTCACAACAGTTTAGGGGGTAATAAAATATTACAAATTCAAAGAACCTACTGACGTAATTACGTTACATTGGCTGCGTTTGGCAGAAAAAAGCGCTAACAAGCGCTTACAAGCGCTGAAATAGTTTTCGGCCAGGACACGATTGCTACTTCAGTAGCGCTGACACAATCCGCCATTATTTAATTTGTTTGTTTATAATAAGTTGTTTTGTGCAATATTAGTTTTAAGTAATATAATGAAATGAATAAACATATTATACACGTTATTAAAAATTCATGATTGGTAAGTTTTTAATATGAATACTTTACAAACATATACTTATTTAAATTAGGTTACGTCTCCCGGTTAAAACTAACTTCGTGTCCTAGAGGAAAATAGCTGCTTACGATTTGACAGCGCTTACCGCTTACGATCTCCATTTTGCTTACAAGCGCTTGCTAGCGGTTTTTTCTGCCAAACGCAGCCATTGTTTGACTTGTTGCTCAGAAAGTAGACACAGGCGCTTCAACAACAAGTATTCGTACACTCCACTACTGGCACCTCTTTACTAACGCTATCAATGTAATGAAGCATTCCATCTCAGTCCACTCTTTTTACTGGAAATGAGGCGTTCCATCTTAGTCCGCCTTCTTGATGTGAAACATCTATAGCGGCGCGGCGGGTCAAACTGCCTCGCTACGTCATAGATACCTTGATAATGTTATGTCCAACACTTTTGTAACATACTTCAATTGTAATAATACTAATTTTTACGGAATTTATCGCGTATATTTAACTTTTTTACCCGACGTTTCGAGAGCTTTACAGCACCCATGGTCACGGGAAGGACTGAGATGTTCAACGTCCAGCTGTCATAGTTAACTGCGGTTACCATAGATTAAAATTTAACTTTTGTTCCGATCTACACAGTATGACCTTATGGTATCATGGAGTCTTGCAGTTGTATGCTTGGGTTGGGATTTAATTTTATTTATTATAGGATCCCAAGCAGATGGTAGCACCCAGCCATCTTCTCTATTGAAATTAGGATGTTTTTTGATTTCAATAGCCTCGCGAATCATCCTTGGAAGGAATCGGTGTTCTTTAGCGAGGATTTGTGGTCTATCAAATCTGATGTAGTGACGGGGGCGATCCTGTACATGTTCACAGACTGCAGACTTCCCGGAGCGTCGATTCTTCACATCAGCTATATGTTCTTTGACGCGGGTTTTAATTGATCTTTTAGTTTGTCCTATGTAGGAGAGACCACATTCACAATCAAGCTTGTACACTCCTGCATCTTGCAGAGGGACGTTACACTTGACTGATGGTAAAAACTGACCAATCTTCTTCGGCGGCTTGAAGTATGTTTTGATGGAAGCGCGCTTCAAGATGTAGCCAATCTTGTCAGTGACTCCTCTAACATATGGCAGTACAGCAGGTACACGCTCGACTGTGGCCGGCTTCACTCGTTCTCTGTGACGTAGGCGCGGGACCCGAAGCTTGTTGTCATGCAAAACTTGCTTGACATGTTGGAGCTCGGCAGCCAGGTGTTTACTGTCACAGATCCCTTGTGCTCTCTGAAACAAAGATTTACCCACGGTAGCTAACTGTGAAGGATGGTGGTGAGAATCACCGTTTAAATATCTATCTGTATGGGTCTTTTTTCTATACACAGTATGGCTCAAGGTGTTATCAGGATTCCGAATTACTAACACATCTAGAAAAGCTAAGGAATTGTTTGCCTCTAACTCCATTGTGAACTGAATTTTAGTATTTATAGAGTTAAGATGGTCTAAAAATGCAGATACTTTATCTAAAGGTAGAATTGTGAAAGTGTCGTCTACGTACCGCTTGTAGAATCTTGGATTTATGGGAGAAGTAAGCAGGGCTTTCTCCTCAAAGTCTTCCATGAATATGTCGGCGACAATGGGAGATACAGGTGAGCCCATCGCCACACCATCTACTTGCTTGTAGAACTCCTCCTTCCACAATAGGTAGCCAGATGTAAGGCAGTGTCTGAGTAATACTGCATATTCTACGGGCATGTTGTTTTCTTCCAGCCTTCTAGTTACAATTGAGATGCAGTCTTCAACAGGTAAGCATGTAAACAATGACTGCACATCAAAACTGACCATAGTTTCATTGTCTGCCAGACGTAGGTCTTTAATCTCGCTGACAAAATGGTAGGAATCCTTTATGTGTGCTCTTGTATGTCCCCTGAGCGGTGAGACTATTTTCGCTAAGTGTTGAGCCAATCTGTAAGTTGGTGAATCGATTTGGCTCACTATGGGACCCATACAACTTTGGTGATTTGGCGCACGTAGGTATTATCCATTTTACGTTCAGATTTAATTTTTCGGAGTGTTTCTTTATGAGGTCACTAGTTGTTTTTAGTGTGCTGTTTGTTGGGTCGTTTTTAACCTTTTTTATAAGTACTTACATCCGACAATAGTTCTTGTATTTTAGAATTATAATCTGACGTATCCATGACCACCGTGGCGTTTCCCTTATCTGCGCGGAGAATCGTAAGTTCTGGTTTATTGCGTAGGTTCTTTAACGCTATAAATTCGTCTCTGGGAAGATTCGGTTTAGGCACTGAACATCGACGTAACATAGACGAAATGTCTTGACGTATCGCCTCCAAATCTTCTTTCCGCATATTGTTTTTAAATAAACAGTCCTCGACACTACAGATAATTTCTTCGTACGGTAATCTGCTTGGAGTTATAGCGTAATTTAGTCCTTTGGATAACACCTTTATTGTTGCATCATCCAGTGTTTGTTTTGACAGATTATAGAACGCGATTAATGTATGATCTGTGTTTGTCAATGGTTGCTTTTGGTTCTGGCATTGATTCGGATGTTTGACATTTGATTTGGCCGTTAATTTTTGATATTTTTCTATATGTTTGTTTTTGCATTCGTTATATTTACTAATTTCGCGTTTATTTAATGTTTCCATGCAAAAACTATAATCAAACGTCGTTAAAACTTTCTTTAATTCACTGGATGATATGTCTATGGATTTATTTATGTCATATAGATCGGAGCGTTTTTGTTGGATTACCGCCCGTAACAACTTTTTACTTGCCTGATTTAAGATCTTAGCGCTTCCTCGTATGTCCTTTTTGGTGGATATTTTGACACACGTAGGAATGAGATTATGGTCTCGGCATCTCTTCAAGAAATTTAAGGCTGTTAGATATCTTGCGCGCTTAGTCTTTAGATCTTCTAATCGGCGTATTTTATTTGCAATTACCAGTCCGTACTGGTTTACATAATGATTTCTTATATTTACGCGAACACTACACATTGAAATAATACTAATTTTTACGGAATTTATCGCGTATATTTAACTTTTTTACCCGACGTTTCGAGAGCTTTACAGCACCCATGGTCACGGGAAGGACTGAGATGTTCAACGTCCAGCTGTCATAGTTAACCGCGGTTACCATAGATTAAAATTTAACTTTTGTTCCGATCTACACAGTATGAACTTATGGTATCATGGAGTCTTGCAGTTGTATGCTTGGGTTGGGATTTAATTTTATTTATTATAGGATCCCAAGCAGATGGTAGCACCCAGCCATCTTCTCTATTGAAATTAGGATGTTTTTTGATTTCAATAGCCTCGCGAATCATCCTTGGAAGGAATCGGTGTTCTTTAGCGAGGATTTGTGGTCTATCAAATCTGATGTAGTGACGGGGGCGATCCTGTACATGTTCACAGACTGCAGACTTCCCGGAGCGTCGATTCTTCATTACATACAAGAGCACACATAAAGGATTCCTACCATTTTGTCAGCGAGATTAAAGACCTACGTCTGGCAGACAATGAAACTATGGTCAGTTTTGATGTGCAGTCATTGTTTACATGCTTACCTGTTGAAGACTGCATCTCAATTGTAACTAGAAGGCTGGAAGAAAACAACATGCCCGTAGAATATGCAGTATTACTCAGACACTGCCTTACATCTGGCTACCTATTGTGGAAGGAGGAGTTCTACAAGCAAGTAGATGGTGTGGCGATGGGCTCACCTGTATCTCCCATTGTCGCCGACATATTCATGGAAGACTTTGAGGAGAAAGCCCTGCTTACTTCTCCCATAAATCCAAGATTCTACAAGCGGTACGTAGACGACACTTTCACAATTCTACCTTTAGATAAAGTATCTGCATTTTTAGACCATCTTAACTCTATAAATACTAAAATTCAGTTCACAATGGAGTTAGAGGCAAACAATTCCTTAGCTTTTCTAGATGTGTTAGTAATTCGGAATCCTGATAACACCTTGAGCCATACTGTGTATAGAAAAAAGACCCATACAGATAGATATTTAAACGGTGATTCTCACCACCATCCTTCACAGTTAGCTACCGTGGGTAAATCTTTGTTTCAGAGAGCACGAGGGATCTGTGACAGTAAACACCTGGCTGCCGAGCTCCAACATGTCAAGCAAGTTTTGCATGACAACAAGCTTCGGGTCCCGCGCCTACGTCACAGAGAACGAGTGAAGCCGGCCACAGTCGAGCGTGTACCTGCTGTACTGCCATATGTTAGAGGAGTCACTGACAAGATTGGCTACATCTTGAAGCGCGCTTCCATCAAAACATACTTCAAGCCGCCGAAGAAGATTGGTCAGTTTTTACCATCAGTCAAGTGTAACGTCCCTCTGCAAGATGCAGGAGTGTACAAGCTTGATTGTGAATGTGGTCTCTCCTACATAGGACAAACTAAAAGATCAATTAAAACCCGCGTCAACTAACATATAGCTGATGTGAAGAATCGACGCTCCGGGAAGTCTGCAGTCTGAGAACATGTACAGGATCGCCCCCGTCACTACATCAGATTTGATAGACCACAAATCCTCGCTAAAGAACACCGATTCCTTCCAAGGATGATTCGCGAGGCTATTGAAATCAAAAAACATCCTAATTTCAATAGAGAAGATGGCTGGGTGCTACCATCTGCTTGGGATCCTATAATAAATAAAATTAAATCCCAACCCAAGCATACAACTGCAAGACTCCATGATACCATAAGTTCATACTGTGTAGATTGGAACAAAAGTTAAATTTTAATCTATGGTAACCGCGGTTAACTATGACAGCTGGACGTTGAACATCTCAGTCCTTCCCGTGACCATGGGTGCTGTAAAGCTCTCGAAACGTCGGGTAAAAAAGTTAAATATACGCGATAAATTCCGTAAAAATTAGTATTATTTCAATGTGTAGTGTTCGCGTAAATATAAGAAATCATTACTTCAATTGTCATCGACCGATTGTCACAGTAATACCGTCAGAAGCAACATTGAATACAACTATTACAGAAGGCACTGATTAAAAGAATTGAGTTATCTCAATTTAAAAAAAAATGTTGAATTTTTAATTTTTGTATTTAATGAATATAAATGTTTATTATCTAATAAACATTTATATTCATAAACAGCCATATTTATTTGAAAAAATTCTTAATATTTTATTTTTCATTATGCCATATTTATTTCCTGTCGTGAACAATACTTTTATGCATATTACCTGTGCAAAATAACTTCTATGTTTCACATCTGCGAGGCGTCTCGCGACGGCTTACAATTTTTTACAGGAAAGGAGGCATTCCATCTTAGTCCTTAGGGACGACAATGCATCTGCCTAGGATAGATGTAGATATCAGTGAGCCACAGCATCCACTTACCATCAGGTGGACTGTGTGATTCTTCGTTACTCATATTCTATTTAAAAAAATCTTGTTTTGACTTGTTCTAAAAACTTGGACCTCGCACATTATAAGAAGGATTAAATCGTCACAGTTGATAGGCCGATTGACATACATGACCTTTAACCCTGCTGCCCTTAGTCGAGTTATTAATAAATTCTATAATACATTTTTTTAAACTGAAGTGACAAAGATACTTGTAGTCCCCCTGATTATAAGTTGCTACTGCATCCTATGAACATGTGCAACCAACTTCAAACAAAGAAGGCTGTAGATGCTTTGTCACCTGTGAGGACCAAGATTGGGATGCCTCACAGCTGTAATTATACTGGCTCTCTGTGCCCTTAAAATGGTAACACATAAAACGGTAACAACAGCAGTGCTAGCATAATTGGCGGCAGAAATATTAGAGGGTTGCAGAAAAGGAATCCTAATATTAGTTTAGTGCCAAAAGAGAAAATCAAAAACTTTGAATATGATAGGTGGCGCTATGGTTGAATTATTAATACATTTTATTCTGTAGAACGAATTCGGTTTGATTTAACACAGAGCATAAACTGGGTACTAAACAAAGTATTCACAGACATTCTCTGTTGATACACTTCCATTATTTTTCGAAAATTGTGGTTTTCGTTTCATTTGATTGTGATTTGTAGGTTACGATGCCAGCGCTGAGGGTGGAGACTACTCGTACTCCGGCTCCGAATCGGATGACGATGATGATGACGACGAGGAAGATTCCGAGGAGGAAGAGGAGTCTGATGAGAGCGAGCAAACTGAAGACACAGCAGCTGTATCTGGTGGCAAGGCCGCAACTTCATCTTAGTTCCAACACTTTTAATGCATTTGTATACAAACTGTATATTTCATGATAATAAATCTTGGTTATTATTGTAGTTACAATTTTTTTTAAACCTCTTTTTAATAAAAGCAATTTTTCCGGTTTTTATCGCGTATATTATTTTATTTTATATTTGTGAAGTATTTCCGAAGTGTATATACCTATTGTTCACTAGATCTGTCGACTTTTGAAACCATTTAGCGATTAATTTCTATCATTTAGCGAATTTTTCACTATTGGCGTTTTCTAGGGACATTTCAACCAAACTATCACATAGTTTTTATTCTATGGAATATTAATTGAGTACTTGATTTTAAGTCTTTAAGGATGAAAAGCGATTATTTCCATAACAAACCAGTTGGATATTTTGACAAATTCTGTTGATTGTATTTGCTAAAAAATTAAAAATCGCGGGTGTTTATTTAAAGAACAGTTATTAAAGAACCCATCATAGTTCGTAATATGGTGACAGCTTCCGTAACTACTTCTCAGAGTGAAGGTTTTGTCTGCTTTTGCTACTGCCTATTTTTCTTGGTTTATTTCCTTGTATCGCATTTTACGACACTCATGGCACGATATGGCATATTCTTACACAGCTGCTACACGCTACAAATTTTAATTTTAAAATCAGTTAATATGTTAGTTTTCAGTTCATATTGTATTTTCATATATCTTTTTATCAAAAAGAGAAATGAAAGGTTTTAACATATTTTGTTTTATTTCCGGCGATTTCCGGCGCCTTTTCGCTTAGAAGAAATTGATAAACTTTGACGACTTTTGAAAACTGTGTATTTCGAGTGGCAACTGGCAAGACACTTTTTTTTTGGAGTTTATGGTCTGGTGTCTAGACCTTTAGGCCAAGTCTTGAGTATTTTTATTCGGTTTATTATAATTTCCCCACTGTATTTTTGATAAATTTATATAGAGGCACGTAATAGGATCTATTTTTTAACATATCACTCAGGCGGCGGGGGGGATCTTGCACTGTCACTTGATTTTGAACTATGTCACTAATTTCACCGACAAGAATCAATCTGTCTAATGAAAAGCACTCACATATTTAATTTTTTTTTATTAAGAAAATATTAATAATCCTATTAATTAATATTACTAATATTCCCTTTAACCCCTCTTGGTAAGCTGAAAATGCTTGTGTTAGGAGTGGTTCACGACAGTAGTTGAATGGTGGATCGAATCCATCCATCGAATAGAGAAGGAGGCTGGGTACTACCACCTGCTTGGGATCCTATAATCAATAAAATTAAAACTAAACCCAAGCATACCACTGCAAGACCTCAGGACATAGTTCATTTTGCATAGATCGGACCATAAACAATAATTTAAAAAAAGCTGAAGGTACTCCGGGTTTAACAATGACATCGGGACGTCAGTCATCTCAGTCCCCCGTGACCATGGGTGCTGGAAAGCGCCCCAAACGTCGGGAATTAAAAATAATAGTAAAATAAACGCGATAAAATCCGTAAAAGTAGTTTTAATCAATTTTGGATTGTTTTGGAGTTCCACCTGGGTCCTCCGGTTCATTCATATAATTCACACAAGGTACAATTATTTACACTGACTAAAATAAGTTTTGGTAATATTTACACAGGATATTTTTAACGAAAAATATTAAAAATTATTAAATCGATCGCCTCGTTTGGAGTTCCCGCCAAAAAACACAATTTATTACTTCGTAGTCAGTGTGACCATATATGGCAGGTTCCTATCATTTTGGCAGGATTGGCCAATTATTTTAGCCTTTGTCATGATCGGTTGACGTTTTATAAAAACTGGCAGTGTTGGGATACTAAAAATAGATTTCATTATGACAACTCAAAATGTCTACATTGGCAACTACGCCAGCTTGTGGGGGATTTCCCTTGTGCGAGATTGTTTTGATACTTCTCATACTATGTGAGGAGTTAAAATTAAAAACGTGATTTGTCACAGATAAGATTGTTTGGAATCCAAAAAAACTACATTAAGTCATCAGCATGAAAGAGATTGAACGTGCAATTCGAAGTTTGAAATGTGGTAAGGCTGCGGGACTAGACAGAGTTACTGCTGAAATGGTCAAGTACGGTGGGCCTCGCGTCTGGGACAGCTTCCATCTGCTGTGCAATTTGTGCTGGCGGACGGGAGATGTCCCGGATGATTGGCGATCCGCGGTCATTGTGCCTTTATATAAAGGTAAAGGTTCACATTTTGACTGCGGGTGCTATCGGGCGATCAGCTTGACCAGTTTAGCAAGTAAAGTTTACTCGAAGGTTTTGACACGTAGGATGCAAGAGAAATCGGAAAGATTCTTATGGGAGGCACAATGCGGATTTAGACCTGGAAGAGGATGCACGGATCAAATGTTTTCTCTCCGCATGATCACGGAGAAGCTTCTGAGTGTTAACCAGAAGATTTTCTGTGCTTTTGTGGATCTGGAGAAAGCATTTGATAAGGTTATAAGGAAGAAAATGTGGGAACTGTTGCCGGGATATGGTGTGGATGGTCGATTGTTAAGGGCTGTGCAGTCACTTTACTATGACTGTAAAGCCTGTGTGCGGGTAGGGCATGACCTGTCACCCATGTTTAGCGCCCAAGCGGGCGTAAAACAGGGTTGTGTCATGTCTTCCTGGCTGTTCATACTGTATCTCGACAGCTGTTTACAGAAGCTGAAAAATAGCTGTTTGGGTGTGAAATTGGGTGACATAAAAGTTAATTGTCTGCTGTATGCTGATGATGCAGTGCTTATTGCACCATCAGAAGCAGAACTGCAGGCATTAGTCACGTGTATGAAAGAGGAATGTGAAATTAAAGGTCTCCGTTTGAATGCTAATAAAACTAAGGTTCTGGTATTTGAAAAGGACGAAGAGAGAACGAAATGTGAAATATGGGTAAATCAGGAATGTCTAGAACAGGTAAATGAAATTGTATACTTGGGGAGTGCTTTCAGCCGGGATGGAAGATGTGATTTAGATGTGGATAGGCGTGTCGCTGCCGGAAACAAAGTCAATGGTGCCCTGAATGCATTAGTCAAAAGGTTGGTACCGACTTTCTTATATGGCAGTGAAACCTGGGTATGCCAGAAGAAGCATAAAAGCAAGTTGAATGCAGTGGAGATACGATCTCTTCGTAAAATGTGTGGCGTTACCATAGCCGATCGAAAGCGAAACGAAGAGATTCGAAATATGGCAGGATTGAAAGATGACCTTATCACAAAAATTGATAGGGGCGTACTCCAATGGTTTGGGCACGTTGAGCGAATGAGTGAAGATTGAATGGTGAAGAAAATGTATAGAGCGAAAGTAAATATTAAAAGATGTCGAGGTAGACCGAGACTAACTTTCGAAGACCATGTGAGCAAATTGCTCGAAGAGGGGAAGGTCAAAAGTACTCGGATACCTAGACGTGCATGTATGAAGAATTTAATGAACCTGAAAGAAGCGAAAGAGGTATGTAAGGATCGTGACACTTGGCGATCTGTTCTCTCTGACTACCCCGTTAGGGATTGTGCGTGAAGATAAGTAAGTAAGTAAGTAAAAAAAACTAATTATGACCTTTTTATCTCATTCTCGTAGTTCTTAAACATACTTGATTTTATAAATAAGTTTTAAATATTGTACCATACAAAATTAGATTGTTTCGCTTTATGATTCTACAGAAAAAAAGGTAAATCTACTCAGCTTATTCTAGGTAACAAAAATAAATAAAAATATAATTTTTCCTTATAGTATTCTTTATTAAAAAAATTAGTCAAATATGAATTACAATTTCTTTTTCCAGGCAACTGTCAAAAGACAAAACCTTTTGCTCAAACAATCTATATTTTAAAATTTTTTATAAAGGGACTGCTCGGATACATGACATTTTTGAGTTACAAGTAACTATAGAGAATGCGATTAGCGCTTAAAATATTTTTTTGTAAAGTGACAAAACTCATGTTTGTATCACATTCAATAAACAACTTTAAGAGTTTGTATATAAAGTTGATAATCTTAAAACAAGTATGCAAAAATCAACACGTGTTTATGGCTAATATTTTAATCAGTTATAGAAGAGACACTTAAAATTGTATGTATTGCAAATTTTGCAAAGGGACTGCTTTGCAACAATATCCAACGCAACACACGAAAGAATATTCTCTGAAATAAATTTAATTAAGACAAGCACACGAAACAGATTTATAAACATCATGTAGCGTCTATCTTCTACGTTAAACAAGGCATTGGTGAGCATGGCGATTCCATTTCATTTAAACAACGAAGGATATGGTAACTCGAATGAATAAACCCATGTATAAAAATGAAAAACATGAAGAATATGATGCTAACTGCGATGTTAATTTTAACTTAATAAAAATGTAGCATTTTTAATGTGTATTTTTACTTTTCTTTGTTTAATACAATGGTAAATAAAGTTGGTAGTATTTAGGCATCTTTCACTACAGACTGGCAGGGTTTTAACCAAATTAAGGCAGGATCTGTATTTTAAAGATGGTCACACTGTTAGTAATAGTCGGAATCTACTAGTTAGTCTGTGGTAGTAGTTTGTGATTTGTTTGTGATGCAGTGAGTGACATTTGTGACTGTCGATTCTTATTACCTGAATCGAAAATATTGGCGATTAATTTTTTTATCAGTTTACAAATAGTGTTGTGATAAATATAAGTGTTTAAATTCGTCCTGTTAATAAAATATTCCGTCCGTATTCGTTATAAGCGCATGGAGATGGGACCGTCGCGGGGCGGTCGGTGAAAGTGTTTGGTGTTTTGTGACTGTGGTCAAGTAAGAGCGAGTGGGTGAGGATGGGTGTGGGGCTGCAGCCGCTGGAGTTCACCGAGTGTTTGGCGGACAGCCCGCATTTTCGTGAGAACCTGCAGCGTCACGAGAAAGAGCTCGAGCGCACCAGCCAGCAGATCAAGCGTCTTATTAAAGAAGTGAAGGATGTCGTGCAAGCTGCAAAACGTGAGTTACAATTCTAAATAGGTACTTCATATTTTTTGGTTTGCTGTTTGTCCATTTATTTTATATTATAACTATCAATTTATTTTTTATAATTATATTTGTGTGACATTATACACCAATTGATAGTTGAAATCCACGCCCTGAATTAATAGATAGTGGTAGGTATAATCAAACAATATATTATCTTGTTAACATTTTTAAATAAATTTGTAACACAATAAGATTTAGAATGTAGGTGTTATCCTACATTTACAAATAGTTTTACCTATTGATATCTGTATAGTTAATTGTGTCCACAGAGGGCCACATATAGTGCTGATAACAAAGCAAGTGGGACATGTCTACAGGTGTAAATGTATGTGGCCTTGGTGACTGACATTATTTAACCTTGCTGCATTCAAACTAACTGCTTACCTACTTAATGTTGTTAGAGTAGAAACTGTTGTAAGTGCCTTTATCACAAAGAATTAATTTTCATAAGTATGTGTGATAAACTCTATATATATAATATGAAAAATTATAATTTTACTAACACATCACTATATTTTTATATATTTTACTGTTTTTATAATTTTTATTTTATGTTGAAACATATAATTCCCAACTAACAAAGTTACATTTTAAGCTCTACATTATTTATTATAAATAATATCAATTAAATCTTTAAGCTCACTGCTGAGTGTATGTGTTTGGTAAATTTAAGTAAGTTATATGGGTGAATCATGTGTCTTTCACCAGACTCCATAACTTACGCCCACACTTCATTAGTTTTGTTTATCGTTGCCGGCCCACATCATACACACTATTTGGTATGATTCTCATTTGTTTACAATGACAGAATCTGCGGATTTTGGGAACATTCATTAACAATAGTTGTTCAGTATGATTTTTTTAAACTATAATTAGTAAAGTGTAGATTTATTTTATAATTGCTTGAAACCAATTGGATAGACAAATAATATATTTTTTTGTTTGTGTAGGACCAGTTCAAACAGTACACATTTGTAATGTGATAACTTGTGTTAATATAAACTGCAAGGTATGACTCAATTGGGCCACTTGATTAGTTGCAAACACATCTGCTGAGTTGCCTTGTTATTACCACAGTAATTCTTCAATTACTTGTATTAGCTAGGCTGTTTAAATAACTCATTATGATTAATGAAATAAATTTACAATACTATACCTATGCAAATATAAGACAGTTTTTAATCTGTCATTTTTAATAAAAATTTTGCCTTTTTTCTGTTCTTTTGCATTGCTATCAATAATATTATAAGTAAAAGGGTGTTTTCTTATAATATCATTGATTGCTATCACAACAAATTTGGCTTTTTTAAAACACTAAATTTTGTATTAGGTATTAAATAATTTCATTTCAAGAAATTACAATAATTTTTTTTGAAAAACATATTTTAATTACTACATTTACTAAATGTTTATATAATAAACTATAATTATATTTTACTAGTGGTCGGTCCTGGCTTTGCATGGGTGATTTCTGAATCTCGATAACTGCATCACCTACCAGGCTCAGTAGCAAACTTTAACCATTCGGGACCCAATCAAACGCACACTAAAAATTTCATTGAAATTGTTCAAGTGGTTTTTGAGTTTTAGCAAGACTAACAACAGACTATTATTTATATATTACAACATACAATAATAAGAAGATAATACTATTAATGAAATATATTATAACATATTTAAAAAAAAAGATATGAAATATTGAAAATTACATTATAAGTAAACTATGTTACAACACCCTTACATTTTTATCAACGTAAATTGATAAGTTCTACTGATAAGTGATAATATGATAGCACAAGGATGTGTGTTGTAATTTGTACACTGCTGTGTTGGATCTAGTTATTAACATATTGGTGATAACATTCTGGTCCTCAACTGTGATATTTATTCATTTATGAGAAGTAATTTAATACCAAATAAATTTCAAAATAGCAAAGTAGTTGCTTAAAGATATTGATGGCATCTTTAATACAAACAAAGCTTTTAAAAAAAAAGGACTTATATATTCAAGGTATACTCCAAAATTGTCATGGATAAACTCCATGACAATTTTGGTTTACACTTATTCATGCACCAAAATTGTCAATAATATATGGATAAACTACCATGATCAAAGTTTTGTGAACTTAAAACACTTTGTTAACTATTACTCATACCAAAATTGGTTTCAAAAATGGATATTATTCACTCCCCATGACAATAGTTTTTGGTTTTCACTATATACATACACAAAATTGCTACATGGATAAACTCCATGACATATTTTGTGAAACATGTTTTCACTTTCGTAAGAGTTCCAAAAACGGTTGTCATGGATAAACTCCGTGAACTTAGATTTTTGGTGAATTTAGACCGAATCATCACGGTTGATTCTGAGAAAAACTCAAAAATTTTAGTAATTTTAATTTTCAAAAAGTAGTTTTCTTGGAATTACTTCAAAATGTGTTTCTCCATAATTATGACATTTTTGAGATCTAAGAAAGGCCATTCCTGGAACTTCCCGCTAATTTCAATATTTAAACGCTCCAATCACACCTTTCTTGTGCACTATTAGGTAACTACGTATTTATTGCCGATTTACCGCGTGTTGACCGCGCCAATTGCTGTTTAGTGTTTAGTAGTGTTAATTTAGTTAGGTTAGTTTAGTTTACGACGTGCTGTTTTCTGCAACTCCACGTCTAAGCGCGTATTTTGCGTGTGGGCAGGAATACTATGGTTATTCGAGCCATGATATCTCCCCGAAGAAGCTCAGCAGTCCCTTGATGTTGCAAGCAACTTCAGGGAGCGATCCCGGCGTGCCGAGATGTTTAGCCCTGTATGAAGAGACTTCTGGACATGTCAGCAACACGTGAGCTGCCGTATCTCCCTCTCTCATGCATGCCCTGTACAGGGGGCTATCAGTTACACCTATGGTTCTGTTTCTGGATGCATCGTTGCCTCTAGATCCACTGTGTCTCTTGATCCATCACAGAGTCACATTGTTGTGCTCACATACCTCATTCAATAGTTGATCCACTCATATATCAGTCCCGAGTTCGTCACATTACAACTCAGAGCTTGTAGTACCGCCATACTGTCGGTCAGTATTCTGATGGAGAAGTCTTTCACCTTCCTAGCATCTATTGCTATGGCCGCTTGGATGATACCCATGCATTCAGCCTGGAAGACTGTGTTGTGGGTACCCAGCGGTGTGCATATGTGGATATTAAGGTCTTCAGAAAAAGCCTCAGACCCCCACACCTTCATTTGTCTTAGAGCCATCCGTGAAAACTTTGAGCTCTCTTGGACTCAATCCTTCTAGATGGTCAGTTTGCTTCAATTGTATCCTGTACTTCTTATTGAATACAAATTATTTTGGGATCCTATCATACTTGGCTTGTAAGATAGGAATTTTTGAGTAAATTCTATCGAATATATCTGTATGGGGGACTCTACACTTACTTAAAAGATTTAGGGTCTTGAGTCTAATGGCAGCTAAAGTTGCTTCTTGTTGTATATGTAGATGAAGCGGTGTTAGCTCCAGCATAGCCTCCAAAGCTAATCTCTGGTAACGCTGAAGCTTTTGTATAGTGGTGGCTTCATTGGTTTTGGTCCACCATACCACAGAGCCGTATGTGATCATGGGCCGAATTACAGTTTTGTACAGCCACAGTATAATTTTTGGCATTAAACCCCATCGTTTTTCATTCATGTTTCTGCATTGCCAGAAAGTTAAACTAGCTTTGCTGATTTTGTTTTCTATGTGTTTGTTCCAGTTAAGTTTACTGTCCAAGGTAAGACCTAGGTATTTCACCTCAGAGGAAAACTGGAGTTTTGTGCTGAAAGGACTTGGAAGATGATAGTTATTCAGCATTCGTTTTTGTGTGAACATTACTATAACCATTTTATTTGGATTAATGGTTAGGTCATATTCCCTGCACCATCTCTCCACAATACGGAGAGCCGCTTGGGTCAGGTCGCACACAATGTTTGCTGTCTTACCAGAGACCAGTATTGTCAGATCATCTGCATAACCGACTATGTAGAAATGGTTAGCGTTTAATTTGCTGATGAGTTCATTAATGACCATATTCCACAGGAGAGGTGAAAGAACCCCACCCTGTGGGCATCCTTTCATGATCTGAATTGTCTGAGATTCACCAACATATCTTTATTGTTTGTGTACTAAGCACGTTTACTATCCAGTCAATCAGTGCTGGTTCAACATTATGTCTACTTAGGGCACCTTTTATGCTGGAGAAATTTGTTCTGTCAAAAGCACCTTCTATGTCTATAAGCCTAGACATATTGATTTGTTTTAGATGGTCTCTTCAATTTTTGTTATTACCTGGTGAAGTGACGATTCTGTTGATTTACCTAAGCTATAGGCGTGTTGTTTTTCGTGTAGCGGTAAGTTAATTAGCGCCGACCCTCTCAACTCCCGTTCACACATCCTCTCCATTGTCTTTAGGAGAAAGGATGTGAGGCTAATGGGTCTGTAGGATTTAGGGTCTGTATAGTCGTTCTTACCTGGTTTGGGTATGAACGTGACATTTAGTAGTGTTGCATTAAACATATTTTGTAGATTAAGGTGTAGCTCATATGTAAAAAAAAATATGTCGACGGCTTGTGATACATGGTAAAGTTTTCATTAAGCTTATGTTGTACCATATTATAACCTCTGTATCATGTATAATATGTTAAATAAATAAATAAAATAAAATCTCCACTTGTTATGTTTTTGAGCTCGAAGAGTAATTTTTTATTTTTTTCAAAATTAATTATTTCCGGCATTTACGGCACTAGATGTCGAAGTCATTCCAAGAGTGTGAGTGCCGTAGGAGACGACAGATGGAAACTAAAACAGAAGAGCTGCACCTACCTGATAACAACTCAAAACAGTAAAACATAAACATTTTCTTTTTTTCTTTCTAAAAAAACTACGGTTGCCAATCCGCCTGCCAAGCGTGCCAACTGTGTAAAACTCTTCC